CCACACACACACACAAAAAATGACACCACTCAATCCACTGCAATAATCTTCCACTATCTATCTGGAGGTCAGCACAACAAATACTCTCGTTATCTTTATAAACAAAGAATAATCAGCAAAGCATCGACACCATCCATCTAGCATGTACACAATCATGAACCCGTGTTCCATAAATGACTTTATTCAGTGGGTTAAATTATTCAGCATAACAAAACCACCTTCACATGAGGCTCATTGGCTTGCCAACAGTGAATAATTGTCATGGGGTATTTGGACGGTTTCACTTGATTCGATAAAATGTAGCCCAATGGTGTTGTTTACAACGTGCGGAGCGCACGGCTATTACCACGCGACAGTTTGCTTTCAGTGCACCCATTAGACGCGAGTAGGCTGGTCACTAGTCATTTCACCGTCGTCTTTCAGTGAACAGGGTTGGTGCAGGGGTTAATGGCAGCACTTTTAGGAATGCTAATCAAGCAAATCGAGGGCATTAGCTGACGGGGGAAAGCCGGCTGAGTGAGAGCGAATGCCCTTCATCGTTCATCCTTGGTTGTGTGCGCGATTGGAGCTTCAGATAGACGATGTAAAGCGTGTCTTTCGAAGTGTGTCAGATTGCGTGCGCACGGTTTGGGGTGTTGCATACTTCATTTTATTATTATGTTGTTCAGTTTGGGATTTTAGACGCTTACTTTGTCATTTTATTTTGCATCCGTCGCAGGTGTATTTCATGTTGTTCCTCTGGGTTGTTCCCTCCTGGCTTTGTAATTGAGTCAAGACAAATTAAATTTGGGGTCAACGCCTGCAAGATGAGCTGTCCTGGTTTGTCTGCACGCCAAACAGCTTCTTCACATGCTGTATTAGATGTCAACCAAGGTCGCACTTCATTTCTGTGCCGCAAGATCCGCATTTGATCATCGGATAAAAGTACATTAGAGTGACATATTGTCATGGTCATTTAAAAAGGGTCTTTCTGGGGTTACAATTTAAATTTGTATTTCAGTGAATGCACCAAATGGCTGTAAATCCATGCTTCTCAATATCTAACACTGTAATTTGAAAGAAAAATACAGAATCGCGTTATCACATTCCACCGGTAGGCTCTCATCACGTTGGATTGCTGAATACAAAAAGCAGATGCATTCTGGAATGATGACATCGCTGTTGAAATATTTGGAATGAGAATGCCCAAGGTTACTTACTGTTATTTTTCATCACAATAAAATAGTGCATTACTAAATGGGTTATTTCCTCCTCCCAAGATATAAAAACTTTTCATCACAATAAAATAGTGCATTAACCCTAAATGGGTTATTTCCTCCTCCCAAGATATAAAAATCAAATCCATTAAAAGATGTGCTGACAGTTAAGGATCTTCATCCGGAAAGCTGTTTGAGCCATTTTTTTTCCCCTTGTTTTAAAGCCATTCAAAAGTGATTTCCGGAAAGCTGTTTGAGCATTTTTTCCCCTTGTTTTAAAGCCATTCAAAAGTGATGGCGTAAATCTTGAGACCTCAATATCTCCGTTATGGTCGGAGGGATGCTGTAGATGTTCAGGGGGAAGTGGAGAGGAGAGGGAACCAATGATCTTACCAACTGTGTTTACGATGCGCCGCAGAGCTTTGTGATTAAGACTCTAATCCAGCCTGCAATTTCCCCCCTGCATTTGCTATGCAGACTTAAATAACACTCTGATATGGAAGATAAGCCCTTCTGGGAAGAGCATCGGGAGAAAAACGATACGAGTAAAGCAGTTAATGGAGGCGTGTGCCAAATTGTGGTCATTTCCACCTTTTGTTGCATCAGGGATGCGTTTGGGAAGACAGTCTATTTATCTTTTTTTTTTTTTTAAATCAGAGTCACATGAATTGACTCACGTCGATGGTTGGTTCTATGCCGGTCCAATGATCAATAAATAATGAGCGGTAATGACTGTTATGCCATATGATAACCTCTCCACAGTGAAGGGCTCAACCTGCGCTTCCTGCACTTCCGATCCGTCCTCCTTCAACAATAGGCACGCGCGCAATTGCTTGAGGTATGAGCGCAAACGCACGTCCCTCTGTCACACACTCACCAAGCGTATGATGTCACCTCGTCCTGGATTCGGACCGCCGAATATTAGTGTGCGGGAAGGATGCATGGCAGCCACGCACAGAGACCCAGGTGGTACGGATGGAAGCCAACGGAGAGAAGCGCTTGACTGCAGCGTCAGCCTTTACTGAGAATGACGCAGCTGCTCTCCCTTGTGGCTTTGATTCCGCAGCTTCCCTTGAAACAAGTCCACCATTTTTAGGTGTCGCCAAAGTCGGACTCCGTTTGACTTTTGAGCTTGTCCAGCAAATAGAAACTGTTTCGTGAATTCACACAAAACCATGATGTGCAATAAACAGCTGCAGTTAGGCGCACATTTGGGAAATTGTAGTCATCATTGTAAATCTCTGGAATCCAGTGCTGAGTTTTGTTTTTGTTTTTTTTCCCAACTTTCCCACCCCACCCCTCTGGCTCTCACCCCATTAAGGTTGCCGGACGACCACGACGGTAGTTTGTCACGTTCCGTCATCAAATCTAATGGCAGCGTAGTGACAGCAGCAGCCTTCGAAACAGGCCCTCACCGCCAAAAATGTTTCGGGAAGGATCACAACACGCTCCACATTGCCTTCTTTTTTTTTAACCTAACCAGACTGACTAGTCTGTACGGCTTTGACTGGTGTTTTATTTTATTTTTTTAAAGGATGCATGAATGTATTTGTGTTTTGGGTTTGGATGTGGTTTGCTGATAAGCCTTCAAGCAGTTCTTCCCACTCGGTAAAAGTGAGAAAAGTTCACCGAAGGGCTCGTAGCAGAAGGGCGTGATCCAAATTAATGCGTCTTTGTGTGCTTTGCTAACCAAGGGAAATGGATTGAGAACACAGTTGTGTGTGTTTTGTGTGTCTGTGAGAGTTGGTTGGTGGTTGGAGGGCTGCTGGGTCGGTTCTCTCTTTTGATACCTCAGATCTGGGTCAAAGGGATTAGTTTCCGTGCTTGGACAATTGCTTCTAATGACAGATTAGAACGGGAAGTTTCACGTTCACAACGAATCGCACCGACTGAGAATCAGCTACTGTACGTGACGACGTTTAACAAACTATTCGCAAATCTTGACCGAGAATTTTTCCGGGTAATAAAACTTGTCACTTTTTCAAACAAACTGCCAAACGGCGCTCTTCTGTGCAGGTATCGGAAAGAACGTGATTTGCGATAGGACGGCCACGCCGTTGGATGCCTTCCGAATGATGTCCGCCGCCCAGTACTACCCAAAGTTGCTGAGCATTATGGCAAACGTCCTCCGCTTCTTGCCAGCCTTTGTTCGAATGAAGGAGCTGTTGGAGGAAGGCTACATCGGGGAGCTTCTGGTTTGTGAGGCGCAGGTAGGATCAAAAATATTTTTTTTCTTGGGGGGGGGTTTGGAGCTAATCAAAGGTTTACGGTGTTAAAATACGTGTTTCGGCTTTGTTTTAAGGTCCACAGTGGCAGCCTACTCGGGAAGAAATACAACTGGAGCTGCGATGACCTCATGGGCGGTGGCGGCCTGCACTCGGTCGGCAGTTACATCATCGACCTGCTCACGTTCCTGACGGGCCAACGCGCGGCGAAGGTCCACGGCTTCCTCAAGACCTTCGTCAAACAGACGGACCACATCCGAGGCATCCGGCAGATCACCAGCGACGACTTCTGCACCTTCCAGATGGTGCTGGAAGGAGGGGCCTGCTGCACCGTCACCCTCAACTTCAACGTCCCCGGAGAATTCCGACAAGAAGTGATCATCGTCGGAACCGTGGGGAGGTTATCGGTCATGGGGACCGACTTGTACGGGCAGAAGAACAATGGCGGAGGAGGGGCCGGGGCGGGCCCTGAACTTCTCCTCAAAGACACGACACCTCTCGAAAAGGCTTCGTTACCCGACAAAGCCTTCAGTGACATCCCCTCTCCATACCTGACCGGAATGATCCGAATGATCCAGGCCGTTCGTCAGGCCTTTCAGGACCAGGACGATCGGCGGACGTGGGACGGCAGGCCTCTGACGATGGCGGCCACCTTTGAGGATTGTCTCTATGCTCTCTGCGTGGTGGACACCATCAAGAAATCCAACCGATGCGGGGAGTGGCAGAACATTGCGGTGATGACCGAGGAACCGGAAGTCAGCCCGGCTTATTTAATCAGCGAGGCGATGCGTCGGAGTCGGATGTCGCTCTACTGTTAGGATCCAGCTGCTTGCCTACCATTCCGAGGAAAAGGATCCATCTCCACCTTAAGACGCGCCGCTGTCCTTATCTGTCGTTCAAGACCTCAATAGTATGTTTGGTGCTGTCCAATCCGTATTGTTGCTTTGCCCGGCCGGATCAACTCCGACGAGAGAGTGTTTCCGCCTTTGCCTCGGCAGACTAAGATAAGCAGTTCTTTTGTGATCAAATCTTGATTCATGCGAGAGCCCGTCCTTGATCTGAGTACGAATACTGTTACTGCGCCGTCCATTACCAAAGGGGTATTGCGCTTGTCGTCTCCCGAAGTGGGATGAAAAACAACAAAGCACACTTGTGACATTGTGTGAGAACAGCCAAGGAAGGACGATAGCCTGACAGATACAAGCACAGCGGTGCTGTAATGTTGCTACTTTCAAGGTTTACCATGTGAATGTGCTTCAGGCGGCTTCTCGCTGTCTGTGTTCTATTCGTCCTTTGTTTGGGTGACGCAAGACAGGGAGGAATCAATAGTTGGGCCGGTGGTTATTCTAGTGAGCTTTAACCTCCATGTTGCTCGTGCAAGATGTCGTCTGCGAGTTTTTGGCCGGATTTACAATGCAGATTGAAATGCCCAATCCTATATATCGTGCCTGAATCCGATTTGTTTTTGTTTTTTAGACGAAGATGTGATCACACTGTATTTATAGTTGCTGGTTCAAATTTAGGGGAAAAAAATTCCATCGCAAATCATGGAAATTCAATACATTTCTTTCAGGATTCACCGTACAAGTTTTATTGCCGTACTGTGAGCAGCCAGAACAGACTTGCGTTACCCAGGGAGCGAATTCCAGTGCCACAATTGGCATTATTTAACTTTTTATTTTTATGCAACTGAACGCGAAGTGTATTTCTTTTAGAAATTTGAGTTTACATTTGATACATCGCTCCACATTCGAGGTTCCACTGTGTTTTGAATTCAGCGGTTAATACGCCGCAAGAAAGTATCATTGTGCGGTTTTGATACAACCTATTTAACAGGTGCAATGGAATGCTAGCTGGTCAGTAAGGCAAAAAAAAAAAAATTCACACTGTTGCACTGAAGTACAGTAGCGTTATGGTACTGTCTGGTGGATCGGGAGTTAGGTTCATGGTCAAGTACACTGGTTTATGCATCGCATTCATGAAATGTCGAAGGTATTCAATTTGCTCTGCTGCCTTGTCTTCCGGAGAAATGTGAATGGCAAAATAGTTTTTGGGAGCTCTATCAGGATTGCTTCATGCGATTCATTGGCTTGGAATCATGTCTCAGGACTCTTTCCCCATCAACCAAGATTCTAGACGTCACTGACTGGCAGTCTTCCAATGAAAATGTTCTTTGCAACAAAAATCTCTTGTAACATAGACAAAATTAAGGACTCCGACTTGATGAGGTGAGCGTGAAGAATTTCGTCGAATGTGTGAATCGTATTACTGATCAAACGCCGCTTGAAGCAGTCGAGGCAAAATGCACAAGGTGGCATTTAACCATTTTGCCAATTTGCAACCAATCTTATTTATGCTCTTTAAATGTTTTGTAAAAAGGCCCGAATTCATATAAAATCGTTTCCTATTTGACTCAAGACGGTTGATGCTGCTGAAAATTGTACACATCTCTTGACCCCTTTTAAAAAAAAAAAACATTTCAAGATGTGTGTGCATGAGCGTGTGGTTTTTGTATCGGGGATTTACTGCCCTCGTTTCCATGATGTGATCAAGCAGACTGCACATTTTCACTTTTACTTTTCAAATAAGAACGTACGGAAGTCTTAATATTTCTCCATGTCACTGGAGTGACCAAATGCACACGGTGTATACAGTTGGGTTATTTTTAGGAATTCCAATTTAAGATTGAACAGTCCACGTCATGTGACATTCAGACTGTACAATAATGTAAAATTGAAAGCTTTCTATCAACAGATATACTGGATTGGACATTTTGGGGATTTTATTTTTATTTATTTTTTAAACAAAGATTGCAGGATGGTTTCTAGTTGGCATGTGACTCATCTAAAATTTACCAAAACATCAGCCAAACTATGAAGCATCATTTTTTTTTTTTACTCACAAACTGAAAATGTTACTTTTTTTTATGCACCTCGCTTCCTCTGTGTGGTTTCATTTTCTTAAAACGACATTTTTAACTGTGTCTGTGCATATGGTTATATTATCAAAGGAACAATGTTGTCTAAATTAAAACAGGCTTTATGTATTTTATTTGTTAAAAAAAAGACAAACTGCATTCTGTTTTCATGAGTGTTGCCAGGTATTTATTGTTTGTTTGCTGTATGCTGCTGAAAATTCATGGATCGCCATGCAGTGTACAGGATGTGGGACAGTATAAGCTGGGCCCTATATTTCCCGTCTATAAAATAGAATTGTTTGAAACACCCTGCTCTTGAACGCCTGTGCTTTTTACACGTTCATTCACACAGGTTTAAGCTTCCAATTGCCTCATCCATGCAGTTGCAATGAGCCGCCGTCGTGGTTAAATGAGGCTTTACAACTTTGCCTTCATGCAATGCAATGTAGATGTGTTGAGAAAGGGTTCGCCTTGTACATTTAGAACACAACCAACCTCAAAAGAAATCTTTTGGGGCAGAGACTGTTACTTAGCAACTAAAAGCCTTGTTGGTTTATCCCCCTCTTACACACACATAGTCACACTACCCCCATCAAGTAACCTAGGTAACCCTTGCTAATTTGACAAGTGCGTAAAAATGAACATCCGCCATGTTTTAATGTTTTAATAGACATAAACAAATATCCACTGTGCTGTCGTTATTACAGTTGCATGCATTTTTTTTGAAATAGTGGTCTCTTATGCAAAATAATTGCTCTCCATAAAAATAATCTTGCTATTGGTATAAATTGAGTTTTTTAAAAAAATGCAATTAAATCCACCAAATCATATACGATTCAGGAACAGAATAAAGTGGAATGAGATGGTGTCAAAAAATTTGATGGACTCTGCTTACCTCTAGTGGCTACTTTTAATACTGCACCTGTACGGCGTTTGGTTCAAACTGAATGAATTGACCAAAAACAATGGTACTTGATCTCACTATCTTTGTTGAGGTATATTCTGGGGTTTCATTTTTCTTATCAAATATATATATATATAATGTTTTTTATAATATGCTTTGGTCTATATAAATATACTGACTGAACATTTCAATACGTCCGTTCACACAAGAAAAAAAGATAACGCTGACTGTGTTTTAGCATAAACATAATCACTCCTTTATACGGTGGATTTATAATGTGTGTATGCCAACGCTGCATAAAATTAGTCATTTGCTAGTACTCGTATAGGGTACAGTGTCAAACTCTAGGCCCGAGGGCCAGATCCGACCTCCCACGTCCTTTTAAGTGGCCCGTGAAGCAAATCAGGTGTGTCGACTACCATGATCCTTGCTAAAATCTGTACCGAAACATTGACTGTATTCGGTTTGACTGTCGTCATGGCCCTCCGAGGGAGCACGTAACTCCCAAACGGCCCGCGACAAAAATTACTTTGTTCCATGAATTCTGGTCATAGAAAATAGAGGAAAATCAATCCATTCCAGCAGCTATCTCGTGCTTGATGCATACCACCGGCGGGTGTTTGAAAAAGGCCTATTGTGTCATTCCATGTTTAGACAATGACTTGACTATTCTTGCGGATCATGTGACTATACAGGTATGTCATTCTTAGACTCATCTACAAACATATACACTTGTTTTACTAAAGGTCCACCTACTGGACTGAAGATGAGCATGAAACAATATCGTTGCAGTTGTTTTTAATATCATCTATTAATAGCTGTCGCAACCATTGAGCTCCTCAATGGAAAATGAGGTTGAATCTCATGATCCTCACACCCTGTGACTTCCTGTGACTTCCAACATTTTACAGTAGGATCCCACCCTGTTCACTGCTGCATTTGTGTCCATTCCAAACGAGTGCAGCGCCGATTCCCCTCATTGGATACAGCCTGCATCTGCATCATTGTTGTGGATTTTTTTTTTCTTTATTTATTGATGTCCACTTACAAAGGACTAGTTGCCGAGATTCAGGCAGGACGTTTTCCGTGAGCTGTGCTGTAGGGCTGCGGCCTCCTCTCAGCAGTAATTGCAACACGGCGCTCTTCCTCCTTCCAAGGCGGTGGAGATGGCTGACCCGGCGGAGTGCAGTATCAAGGTGGTGTGTCGCTTCAGGCCGCTGAATAAATCCGAGGTCGCCCGTGGAGACAAATATATCCCAAAGTTTCAAGGGGAGGACTGTGTGCATATTGCGGTGAGTAGGTGACACTATTCAAACCTCTTTGCTCGTCAGACTTGATATTACTATTTCATCTATCTATCTATCTATCTATCTATCTATCTATCTATCTATCTATCTATCTATCTATCTATCTATCTCAAACAAAGCTGTGGAAAAATTACTACCAACACCCAATATATCTGCCTCATAGTCAAAGGTTCTCTTTTAAAATGTTGGCTTAGCTAGCAAATGTGACTTCTGCCAACAGCTTGCTTGATCTCCACTGATTCGTTTTTGCTCTAATTGATTGCAGCTAAGTATACCCCAATGTCCTTTTAAACCACCTGAAGTGCCCTTAAGTTGGATATTTGACTGTAAGATATTAAAATGATGGTCTTATATCCACGTTGGTGTTCCCCATGGTTCTATTTTAAGCCCCATGCAATCATTTGGTCATGTTACCCTCCCTAAAACAATCAAGTTCACTTACGAAATTACCGTACTGTGCGTGCATTTATTTTCTATAACGACTGTCCTCGTTAACGTCTTGGATGAGCTGGACCCTTTCCTAGCTGACAGTGGACAAGAACTGGGGAAACATGCTGAGCTCTACGCCAGCCAATCATCATGCTACATATGTAACTAAATCCTATGATTAAACCACATTACATGCTGTCTCCCTCCTTTTTACCAATAATTAAAAATGTAAATGCACCGTGAATGCTATCAGTCAGGTTTGGTACCACAGTGTGTCTGAGCTGCTGGCGAAAGCTGAAAGTTTCATCAACAGTACAGTCGATGTGTTGTTATGGGCCACACTTTTGGAATGCTTTGCTTTGGGATATCATATTTGTTGAGTCACTGGCCAGTCTAAATTCCCCCTAGGACACTTTTTATATAAAGAGGCTATTGATTGGTGATTCGAATAACGTATCTATTCTTTAGTTTTCTGTCTCATTTTTTTTTATTTCACTGCTTTTACCTTCATGCGTCTATTTAAAAGTCTGACCCGAATTATTATTTTGCTCACCTGACTCACCTGTGGATGTGTCTGCTCTCATACATCGTGATCTTTTTTTATGTGACATATAAGAAAAAAGCTGACATCCACTGCAACATGTACATGCATGCATGCATGACTATTGTTTACAGGGCAAACCCTACTACTTTGACCGCGTGTTCCAGTCCAATACTACTCAGGTGCAATTCTACAACGCTGTGGCTCAGAAAATTGTCAAAGGTAAGATGACACGCAAAGGTTGTATTGGGATGCATACGCAAAGTACAAGCGTTAACCTCGATAACAAATGGTCTTGATGAGCGAAGATGTCCTTGGGGGCTACAATGGCACGATATTTGCCTACGGACAGACATCCTCTGGTAAAACACACACAATGGAGGTAATGCTCTACACCAAGATGTTTATTTCGGCTGCAACATTGCATACAGACTGTATTGCCTGTTATGTCGCCTGTCTTTCTTTCTTTCAATCTTTCTGCCGAAGGGCAAACTCCACGATGGCGACATGATGGGAATCATTCCCAGGATCGTGGGAGACATCTTTAATTATATTTATTCCATGGATGAGAACCTGGAGTTTCACATCAAAGTAGGTCATCCATTTCATCAAGAATTAAGCTGTTGAACTTTTTGGGTGGATGGGGGATCATATCTCATGAGATGTCGTTTGATTTTTAGGTTTCTTATTTCGAAATATACCTGGACAAAATCAAAGACTTGCTGGATGGTATGAATGACTTATGGCTTATCTGAAGCCTTTTGAGCATTTATTTGGGACCCTTGGGATCCACGTTAGGGTCCATGGACGAGTACACTTTTCTCGTATGACTATTCAGCTCTCGAGTAGAATGACTGCTGCACTACTTGGACAACTTCTGTATGTCCTTCTAATTACCTTCATTTCTTTTTTCACTACGAGTGTCACATTTAGCATGCAATTAAACCCGACTAGTAAATTACTTTGTTGCATTCGTCACTTTACGAGAGCCAAAGAGTGGCACGTGGACCTTAAGTTGTGAGATCAAGGATCAAGAATACATGCTTAAAACAGCTTTCCATATCGTGGTTACCCATTTTTGGCCAAATTCAATGAGTTTGATTGTGCTGTGACATTTTTTTCTTATTCCACAGTAACAAAGACCAACCTTTCGGTCCACGAGGACAAAAATAGGGTGCCCTATGTAAAGGTAAAACGTGTGCAAAATGATTGCCGTGGGAACAAAAGTAATTAAAACATCAAACCTTGTGCCTTTGTACATTGGTGTACTCATATATTTTATATATTGTGCGTATACTGTCCGACAAACGATTTAGTCAAAAACAAACAAACTACTACAAACAAACGCTGTTACTAAACAAACATCTAGTCATGAAACATTAGTAGCTGTATGTTGAGTTACGTTGAGGGGACAGTGCATTGACACTGTTATCCACTTTGCACACTGATTAATTTACATTGCACAAAAAAAAAAAAAACATCATATCAAATATTGACCAAACAGTGAGGGGTGTACACACTTTCATGAGCTACTGTTCACCACACAAAGATCCACTGGTCCTTCCCTATGTAGTAATGTTAATGGGCATTATGCAGTATGTTGTGTAGAATAGATGGAAAGAAAATAAGCATTATAATCATATAAATATTACCGAGAGTGCAGAGTGGCAAAGGGTACAATATATGAATATGAAGTGATACTGCTGGTCCACACTTGACTGTACATCCATATACAGCATTGCTTGGCTGTATCTGTATTCGTCAATACTTGGTGTTCATGATCCTTGATACCAATAAGTGCTTTTCTGTCAAGCCAGCCCTCTAAAGAGGCTCCTCAACACGCCTCCCCCTGCCTTGTGATGTGCGTTTGTCCCCAGGGTTGTACCGAGCGCTTCGTGTGCAGTCCCGACGAAGTCATGGACGCCATTGATGAAGGCAAAAACAACAGAAGCGTGGCTGTCACAAGTGAGTCTGTGTGCCGGGTGCGGTGCTCTTGCCGCTCATGGGTTCGACCTCACCGGGTCTCCTGACTGCTCCTCACCAGATAAGGGATTTTAGTGCAGAACTGCAGTAAAGTAGGCTTGGCTCTTGATGAAGGATGGCTCAAGTCATGTGGTGTTTGTAATTATAGACACCCGGTGAAGAAAAATGAGCAATTTAAGTGCTGTCATCATTTCAGTTGGCAATTGCCATTTTTGTGCTATATCGTTAAATAGCGTTTTCATATTATACACACTTCTGAATGGATCAATCAGGGGTCGGTACCCTCACATTATAATCATGACAACAAAATACCATTGATGTTATTCCCCCGTGCGCGCCTTTGTGCGTTTCTCAGACATGAATGAGCACAGTTCGAGGAGTCACAGCATCTTCCAAATCAACATCAAGCAGGAGCACACTCAGACGGAGCAGAAACTCACCAGCAAACTCTACCTTGTGGATCTGGCTGGGAGTGAAAAAGTAGGAACGTCTTTCTTCTCATCATTCTGTCCCCACGTTATGTGAACTTGAATCCTTTCGTGGAGCTCATTCTGATGGCTTGTTGTGTTGCTTTTCCCAGGTGGGTAAAACTGGAGCGGAGGGTACAGTGCTGGATGAAGCCAAGATGATCAACAAGTCTCTGTCGTCACTCGGAAATGTTATTTCGGCACTGGCTGAGGGCTCAGTAAGACAGTCTTCCAGGTTTTTGTTTTTGTTTTTTTTTAGCTGCAGTTGTGTTCACTGCTCGTGCATCATTTAGCGCAATGTTGATCTCGAGTCATGTTTTGTTTGGGTTGTTTAGCCACTGACGATGCCCCTTTTAACAAATGTGTGTTTACCACCTCCTTTTGGTCAAGTATCCCAGCGATAGCCAAAGAAATTCTTTCTTTCCGAATCTTTGCCCAGAACTATGTGCCATACAGAGACAGTAAAATGACCAGGATCCTGCAGGACTCCCTTGGAGGAAACTGTCGGACCACCATGGTCATCTGCTGTTCACCTTCATCCTTTAATGATGCCGAGACCAGGTCTACTCTGCTGTTTGGACAAAGGTACGCCATTTTATTTGGTTTTCATGCCATTTTTCTTCAACAATTATGCTATCTATATTCGTCCTTTGGCAGCAACTCAATTTCTTTTGTGTTTCGGTATTTCACTGTGAACATACGGCGAGCCTCTCTGTAAGCTCTGCATCGGCGCTGACCTAAAAATGCTCGTTTGTCGCCTTTCTGTGTGACCAGGGCCAAGACCATCAAGAACACCGTGACGCTGAACATGGAGCTGACGGCAGAGCAGTGGAAAAGCAAGTATGAAAAAGAGAAAGAGAAGAACAAGGTGCTGAGAACCAGCGTAACCTGGCTAGAAACGGAAATCAACCGCTGGAGGAAGGGTGAGAAGATTTCAATTTGACTTTGAATTGGACTCGAAGCTATACGACGGTGTGCTACATGCGTGTCTGCTGCTTGTAACAGGAGAGACCGTGCCAGTAGAGGAACAGTTTGACAAGGAAAAGGCTAAGGAGGAGGCCAAGGCTGCAGACGCTGTTCCCAATGATAAGACAGAAGCATCGCCAGCGCCAATCAGCCTTCCTAGTGTCAAACTCACGCCGGCTGAGACGGGACATTACGAAGCGGAGATGGCCAAACTCTATAAGGAGCTGGATGACAAGGTCATTGATTCTCTAAAATTGGAAAGTTATGGATATTAATATACGCTATGCATGTCATGTCACAAATCAGAACCCATGAAATGAAATAAACCAAATTAAACATTTTGAAGTCACGGGCTTTGTAATGGTCCACTCGTCTAAAGATACTTGATTTTTTTTTGGCCAGCAGATGTCTCTTTTGGACACTTTGGTTACAAAATTAGCAGTGATCATCTTGTCCGTTCATCCTTCCAGGACGAAGAGATTAATCAACACTCTCAAATGGTGGAGGCATTTAAGCAGCAAATGTTGGACCAGGAGGAGGTGACCACCCACTCTCGCCTCTTATCAACATCCCTGATTGTCTAACACTGCACAAGCAAACATAAGCAAGCAATGCAAACTTTTTCTTCTCTGCTTCTTGCTTGCGTTAAGCTCCTCGCCTCTTCCCGGCGGGACCATGACAGTTTACAGACAGAGCTGAAACGGCTGTTGACAGAGAATGAAGCTTCCAAGGAAGAGGTGAAGGAGGTGCTGCAGGCCCTGGAAGAGCTTGCTGTGAACTACGACCTCAAAAGCCAGGAGGTGGAGAACAAAACGCAGGAGTTTGAGGCCCTGAGTGAGGAACTGAATGAGAAATCTGTACGTAGTTCATCATCTCTATGGCGACTGTGGAGATAATGACTGAAACGGATCCAATTGCCAGTCTGGTTTTTATGTCCTCGCCAGAGTTCTTTGGCCTCGATTGACTGCGAGCTCCAGAAGCTGAAGGAGATAACCAACCACCAAAAAAAAAGGGTGGCAGAAATGATGTCATCGTTACTAAAGGACCTAACAGAGATAGGCTTGGCGGTGGGCAGCAATGACATTAAGGTAACAAGTAAAGTTGAACTGAATCCAAAATGACAGGGCACCGAGAATGTTTTTTTTTTTTATGTTGCTATTTGCCGACTGGATTTTGATTGAACCCTATGAACCGATCTCCCTCGCAACATGTGGCCAAATATCAAATGTCCTGACCAGAAGAAAAAAAAATGTTTCATTTAAGACTTTTTTTCATTTTTATTACTTCCACATCCTCAACTGACCATTGTTTATATACCAAAAGTAATGTCAGAACAGGAATTGCATGTTTTTTTTTTTTTTTTTTTGCATACATCTGAAAGGTATATATGTGGCCCACCAGCAGCACGAGAGCAGCGGTGTCAAAGACGAGGAGTTCACGATGGTTCGACTTTACATCAGTAAAATGAAGTCGGAGGTAAAAACGCTGGTGAAACGCAACAAACATCTAGAGAGCTCCCAAGCTGACAGCACCCAGAAGATGGAGGGGACTGAGCGGGAGTTAACGGCCTGCCAACTTCGCATTTCTCAGGTAACTCGTCAACCTGTCATCAGTTGTGCTGTGAGGGTTGTCAGTGCCGGGGACATATGCGGCGTTATGACCAATTACTCCCGTTATTCTCATTATTCTTCGTGATAGTTGAGGATCCCGTTGCGACTCAACTGGCTGACATTTTTTTCTGCATTGTGGATTTCAAAGTACTGTCACTTCATTTCTCTGAGTTTGTGTTTACAGTTCTTTTCGTGTGTTGTGTTTTTGCTTGTGCCTGTCTGTGGGCAGTACGAAGCGAAAATAAAATCCCTGACAGACTGTCTTCAGAACGTTGAGCAAAAGAAAAGACAGTTGGAGGAAAATGTGGACTCTCTTAATGAAGAAATAGTCAGGATCAGAGCTCAAGGTGAGCACAACGCGGACTGTATTTAAATGTCTTTGGTCTGTAAAGATATCATTCCATGATTACTTAACTCATATTTTATTTGGCATATTTTTGTAACACTAATCTTGAAGGGGAAGTCAAACATTTTCTTTACATTATGTTCTATAAGCAACTGTGATGTCATTTTCAGTCGTCGACAAGTTGCAAAATGGAAAATAGAAAGTATTATTGAACAAAAATGTTTTGACTTCACTTCCTCTTCAAGTAATGAATCTAAATTTATTTATTTATTTTATTTTTTTTGCTTTTTTTTGTATTTAACTTCTACTCCTTTTTAGAAATACTTTTATGACAGCAAACATTATTTTTATACTTTATTTGGAAAAGCGGATAAGAAAAATTCGATAAGGTAACCAAAAATGTGTATTAAATATATTTTACACAATATTTTTCTTTCCGCCAGAGAGGGTTAATATGGTGGAAAATGAGATCCAGTCCGCCAACGAGGTGAAGGTATGCTTTCACGAAGACCTCCCTGACGACTGTCATATGTGCTCAACTGTGAGGATGAGCCGTTGTATGTTTGATTCTGTCTAGGAAGCCGTGGAGAAGCAGATCCTGTCCCACAGAGAGGCCCACCAAAGACAGATCAGCAACCTGAGAGACGAGCTGGACAGCAAGGAAAAGCTCATTACCGAGCTCCAGGAGTAAGAAAACCACCTTCACTTCTCTCATCTACACCTCGTCTGAACACGATTGAATGCCCCCCCATGCTGAATGCTGCTTGATGATACGCGTGCAGTCAAAACCAGGAGATCATGCTGGAACAGGAGAGGTGGCGAGTTGAGCATGAGAAGCTCAAGGCAGTGGAACAAGAGAAGAGTCGCCAGCTACAAGAGCTCACGTAACGTCTCTCTCCCTCTCTCCATCGTCATCACTGAATTGCTCTTACTTTTGTTTTGATGATATCGTTGATGTTACTCTGATAAGGGAGCTGCAGGACAAACGGGAGCAGACAAAGCAGGACCTGAGGGGACTGGAGGAAACAGTGGTAAGTTATGCTTCGCGGAATTGGACATGGGGGTGACATTTCAGGATGAGCCTAAAATACACTAGAACCTTTGTACAGGAACTTCTTTTGACCTTCTGCAACCTTTGTGTCCAACTGTTCATTGTTTCAAGACTTTTTGTACCATAGCTCCAAGGAGCTAGATGGTCACAATTCACGACAATTTCCAAACATCGTTTTAATCACTTTAATAGCAAACACAAAGTGAAAAGGAAACGTGAAGCAAACAAAATGACTCAGTAATTTTTACAACGGGATAAGATGTGAAACTGCTGACTCAACTTCTAGCCGCCACACATTTTTTACTCTTTCTCTCCTAAAGCCAACGCAGCGGGTTAATTACATGTTTGCTTGCCACGAAATTACAACGATTATATCGACCGTGCTTTTCATCTGCATCAATTAAAGCGCTTTTCTTTTCATCTTTGTCTGAAACAGGGTCGGGAGCTGCAGACGCTTCACAACCTCAGAAGACTTTTTGTCCAAGACTTAGTCATAAAAGTCAAAAAGGTCAGTGGACATAACATAGGGTTTGTTTCACCCATAAAAAATGAAGTATTATTCTAAACTATGATATGGTTACTATAACTGCCTCCACTGTGGTCGTCTGCAACCACATATTTCTCATTTCCTTTCCGATATGATACCAAACCCACATTTTCACCTCTAATGAGACATTGAAGCCCCATATATATTTGTGCTCCTGCATGCCCCAAATATGCTCCATTTAAATTGCACCGTGATGAAAAGTTAATGAATCTGGAGCGCACAACAGAGTTTCTGCTAAGTAGGGCATCAGATTCTTCAAAGGTGGCAGCTGTAAATAGGAACTTGGGCCTTTAGCTCCGATCCATCAACTCTACCGGCTTAGGCTCGATACGACTAACAAAGCCGAGGCAAAGCAAGCTTTCTTGGAAAATAGAGATGATCTTAAATCTGTCATTATTTCACTAAAACTGTTATATCTGTGAAATATAAACCATTTATGTTGATTGTATTGCCACAATTACTGGATGTGGAAAATAAGCCATAAAATATAATTTGTCCAAATTCAATATATTTCATACAGAACTCTCAAGTGAGCGCAGAAGAAAGAGAGGTCAGCGCTGCCCAGAAACGGAAGATCTGCTACCTGGAAAACAACTTGGAGCAACTCACCAAAGCTCACAAACTGGTATGTACATGCGCAAAAAAAAAAAATCAGTGACAACAAAATGTACAAGTTGCAGCAAAGATGACAAAAGAAACAAGAAGAGCTGTCAAACTAGTGTGCCTGTGGCACTTTGTCCTCAAAAGACCCCATGGATTCCAACACCGCCACCATGTTGTCCAAACTCAGTTTTGCAGTGAATTTACTTGAAAGGTTGGACCAACTTGTAACCATATGTCATGAACTAGGAGATTTCCACTAGGCGGACCAAAATGCCCACTAATAGTCCCACCTCGATCGTAATATGGTTTTCTTATTAATATGTGCTCTCGACTCCATGCAGCTGCTACAGGACAATGCTGCCCTCAATTCTGAGATTCCTAAAATGGCAAAGCGCCTGCAGACCACAATTGAACGAATCAAAGCCTTGGAGGATGCTCTGAAGGAGGCCAAAGAGAGCGCCGCACGTGACCGCAAACGCCACGAGGAGGAAGTTGAGCGCATTCGGGAGGCCACCAAGCCCAAAAACATGGCGAGGAGGGGCTCTGCTCAGATAGGTAGGTGGGAGAGAAAATGTTGACTGAACATGGGTCTGAGAAAAACTGTATGTTCAACTGAATATGTCAAACATGACTAATCTTTTCTCTGCATCCAACGCAGCCAAGCCCATTCGACCAGGCCAGCTGCCAGGCGCCTCGCTTTTGAACACCAACGGAAACAGGTCGAACCTCATGCAAAGTTATGGTGGCATCAAGGAAGGGGATGACAGGCAAGAGCGGAATAACATACTTAATTGATTTGTCACTGTAGCCACAACCGTTCTTTGTTTTGTTTTCATTTTTGATTGCCTCGAAATGCAGTCGGTAATGAAAAAGATCCAAAATAATCCCTAGAGAGACGACCTGTGTATTTTTATTCCCTCCTTCATTTGTGTTCTTTCTTATCCCAACAGCTCGTGAAGGTCGGCTCACTGCAAAGCATGAAGATAAAAACCTCGGACACTTCATTCTTTTTCCATCAATGTGTACATACTGTGTTGTCTCTGTACATGCTGGCTGCGGAAGTTACCCTTTCAAACTTCCCCTTCTCTGTACAAACATTCCATCCTTCAAAATCCAACTGCCCTGAGTTGTTTCCACATGCATAATTATCAATAAGGAATTAAACAGTTACCATAACTTTGTCCCATTATAATTGGATTATCCTGTGCATTGTGCTTTCATGAAACATGGGTTATCATAATTTGGAAACAAATGGATGTGGAATACAATTTCCAGAGCCACATTAGCTTGATTAATGTTCATGATAATTACATCTGTGCCTTTTCGGTTTACCACCACTGTCATACAAACACTTCACACAATTCAAAATACTAATTCTCATTGGTGGGCTCTGATCCCTATTTCTACGAAAGAAATAATATATTTACACAGGAATGATGTGGTGTGAGTGTGCATTTATTTCTTAGCCGATGTCAGCTGTCTTCGGGCAGTAGGCTGGGGACACCCTGAACTGGTTGCCACCCAATTGCAGGGCATACATAGACGTGGTTCGGGATGAGACTAGCGAATGACACGTGGCTATTAGTTGGACCTCGTTGTACAGGACAGTAGTTTAATCGTAAGATTTAATTGTAAACTGATGTGTCAAAACTGGTAGTAGTAATTCAAAACAAACGTGACGAGTTATTAACGCCATTCGTGTCCACTGCCAATTGTGCACATCTTGTCATTTTCTTCCTTTCGCCGAAAGGGGGCGCTCTTGCACAAAACAGTCGTGTTTTGTCAAACAAAATGCTGTACTCAGTGCTCGTGTATTCTTTAGTCTTCGCATTTTATGATATTATGCAAATTTGCTACTCAATTGCCTGAGGCCAACTTCGATGCTTTGACTGACTGTTTTCCATGGAGATGTTGCCGTGTTACCGGATCAGTCCGCTGAATCATTCATGATGATCCTGCTTGGATGTGAAACACCCCGTTGTGATTGCCAAACACTGTACAGCCTGACAAGAGGCGTGAGCCTATTTGCATTTGCAGGCAGAGTTTTTATGGAAAGCTATGGAAATTTCCCAAAATAGGAGGAACTCCAATATGGATCGCCTCCATACGATGTAACTAAGATCAGCTAATCACCTGTCATCTGTCAGTGACAAGTATTTGATGCGACCCCAGTGGTACTGAACAAAAACAAGGAGAAAGAACTGGAAAGGTACAGAGCGAACGGTAAAGCTGCAGTGTGCACACTGCACAATGACAGACCCGTGGAAATGTGGAATCGGCAAACCTGCATCCTGGGTTAAATAAAACACGCCAAACTAGTTCCGGAATTCTCCTGAATCTGCTTTCAAAATAAACCGACGTAAACATCAACGCTGGGTAAACAAACGCCAGGTAAGGTGTTTTAATTTGTGTGGTGTTTATGAGCATCTTCTTGCCCACTAGTACTACCTGGACATCAAGGATATTAAATAAATGCTCAAAAGGCTTTTACATTCTTTATCTTCAATAAATACTCATACAGCTATTTACGGGTATCTGTTTTGAGCTACAGTATATTGTGAGTTAACTATGTCATTCATTTCTAAACCTGAAATGCAATTATTAATAAATATAGGTAAATCAGAATTTGATTTATTTTTTCTTGTTTTCTGAAGAAAAAAAACTTAAGGAATGACTTTGGCCATTATTTGAGGAGGAGGATGAAATTAAACTTTTGTGTCCAATACTTTTGATTGAATCAGGTGCAACTTTAATGTTCATACCCTCCATAATGTTACAGTGGCTTACAGTAATAATCAATGTATTTTTTAGAAATTAAACCTCCCTCTTTTGATGTGACTCCACTGTGGTGACCCCTGATTGAAAGGGACTAAGCCGAAAGTCAAACAACAACTTGCTACTGGACTTTAATGTTAGTCATGATGGTGGTACAAGTATTTTTAGATGGTACGTGTGAGAGAAAAACAGTTTAAAACCCACTAATGTAAACAATGACACTTTCATTAACCAGGCTTTTATTTAAATTTCTTGTGAAAGTAGTGACCGGATGTGATCGGCATCGCTCCACGTAAATGATTAGAATTTCAGGCAAGGCGGGGGATTGCGAACAGACCGAAAAGCCTGGAGAACCGCTGCGGACTTAAACGGAACTGTCCATACAAAATTAGAAGGGAAAACTTCCTCCACGATCACCCTCCAGGTCCATCAAGAGACGCCATTTGAGTTTTACAAGGTTAGTACGGGTCGTGGAGAGATTTTCTGTCGTCGACGTGAGGCTTTTGGCTTGCGTCTGGAGTTACTTTATTGCGATGCACGCTGTTGCAGGTTGTGTGTTTGTTATGTCGGTGAACCTGCCGTGCTTTGTCCATGCGTGAGCCCCCTCGGAATTGTCACGGGAGGTAATGCCCGTAGAATCGCTGGATAGCGAGCGGCGTTTTACATTGCAAATCTATGACATGTTAAGCCAACATTCCCCGCGGATAGCGCACGCGCCGAGTTTTTTTGAGGCGGTTTCCTCGCGGTGTGCTCGGCCGCTTGTGCCCACTCGGGGGTGCTTCTTCTTCGGCTGCCCTTCCCTCGCCGCCGGGCATGTCGACTCGGTGGCCTTTGTTACGAAATCACAAGGATTAAACTTCTTTGTGCCGTATTCCTGTTGTGTGTTGTCGGGCTGGAGGCGACCCTGCCCCCTCCTCCCCAACCTGTGCCCCCACCATCACTGCCGCCCTCCGAATCAGGCATTCTCCTCCTGGCAGTCAGCCCCCCCACACACATTGAAGCCCCAATATAGTTTTTCCCCCCCCCCCCCCGCCCCTCATTTCTTCACACGAAGAAACAATGTTTGCGTCCACTCATAATAACCTGCAGAGTGTGATTGAAATGGAGCTGCAGCAATATAGGAGCACATGTTGGAGTGGATGCTACTCTGGATGCCACATCTGTTTTGAATGAAGCACAGGGACAAAGGCTGTCCGAGTCCCACGGTGTTTTTTTTTGCTGCCACAGTGGCTGAGCTGCAGATGTGTGCAGACAAAGGCACAGGTTGTGATCCAACTGTTGATGCAGACCGGTCAGACTAAATCACTTGCTGTTAAAAAGCTTCACGTTGTTTAATGTCTTTTATGGACAGAAAGCCCTTCCGTCCCCATGAAGCGCTCTAGAGACAAAGCTTAATATACAGTCATTTAATGTCAGACAACAACAATCAAGCATAACCAAAATTTATGTAGAATATTGAAATGATCGGCCCCAATATTTGGATTTTATGGACATCAAAATTTTCCTCTCCCTAGGCGCTCACGACAGTTTGATCTCATTTATAGGTAAATGCTTCATGTCATTTTGGTGACGATTCATTGCAGTTTTCTGACACTAAGCGGTTAGTTAAGCTTCTTTACATTTATGTTCAGAGTTTAAGAAATTTACAGTACACATCAAACCGTATAATTTTGTGGAACAAATGCCCGCTAGCTTGATGCTATTATACATTGTGAAACGCCAGAGACAGGCTAGTGGAAATCAGCATAGATATTAGGGTAAGTGTTAACAATAAAAAACACTCCTATTTTAACACACATGGAGCATCAACAGCAAAACGGCATGCGACAATACTCACAGGATTATGTCATTTGTACTTTCCTTTTTAATTTCTACTGCACTTCAGCTTCGCAGGAAGCGAATCAGCTTAACAATGTCCTTTACTAGAAATATTAAGACAGCGGGGCTTTTTCTCCCCCCCTAGACTGTTGTCAAATCCGTATTATGCCAAGAATCCCTTACGTCTACATTATTTGTTGACAGTGATTAATTTTCCCAGACAATTGTCGTGTTTGTTTTTCCAGGAAGTGCAGAAAAAGACAACATAGGCAGTTTTATTACTGAAGGGAGATTTCTTTGCCAATTTGTGTCAGTCTTGGATTTGCGTTAGGCAGACAATAGTTCTTGTAGAAGGGACGCACTTGCAGAAAATGGTTTTCGATATGACAAAAATATCATTTCAATTTGGTCTCGCAAAGAATAGTCGCGGATTTTAGTTGACATAATGCTTCAGTCGCCTGACGTTCGTGCTCAGCGGCCAAGACAAACGTGCGTACCATTTTCCTATTATGCAACTGAACCATTTTTTTTTTCCCTTGAATTCCAAATTGTACGACATCTGTGCTGTTCCACTTTAGAGTTGTCACCGTTGTCGGATGTGTGAATCCGCTGACAGATGCGAGTGGTATGACGAGGTCCGCTGCTGGCAATCTAAACAGATTAAGCTATCGTCAGTCAACCTAACAGCGTGACATTTGGTTCTCACTGTGAAGTTTTATCTGTTGGTGTGTCACTGCTACTGTTCCAGGAGTAAACCCCCTCAGCAATTTCCTAATATCATTTTCTGAGATTGCCCGCTTGTGTGCGGCGACATGACGATCTGCCTCTCGTGCAGTTCATTCACCGCATCAGACTGCCAATGTTCCTTGAGAGAGTTCACCGGGGCATGATGATGTTGTATGTGTTCAAGCATGTGTGACTACCGAAAGGCACACACACACTTTAAAAGCCTGGCCGTTATGTAATACTGTGCGTGTTGCTCATAGTCTTGAAACATGGAAGGCCCAGACGGCTCTCCCCACTGTCGGGTCTATTCTTGGTGTTAGGCCGTCAGTCTGAGCTTCAGAGTGTCTGCGCATTTTTCCTCTGCATGAGGTTGGGCCCCCTTTATAGATTCAGCGGCATGTTCTCACGCCTCCCTAAAAGCACCTGCTCTTGCCGCCTACACATCAAGGATGTCGGTCCTTAGCGGCTTCTATTTTAGGGGGGGAGGAAGGAGAATCTGATTTGCGTGGTGCAGTGACTCACGAGCTGCTGTTGGACTGAAGGAGTGGCCCAGTAGTTAATGGGTTAACTGACAAAAGCATACTCTCCCTCCAGGTTGAACAACAACCGACCTCTTGTAGCCCGGTCCCCTGACTTCCACGCTGTCTTGATCTGTTCTGAAATTAAGGTCTTTTTATGGGCCACATTGATGCGTGTAATGATGTGAAGTCGCAGCACAGCGGGGGGACACGTGATGACACGCACACTTTTATTTTTGGATGCCGTCAGTGCAGGAATTCCGCGCTGCAAACAGCCATTGTAGCTATCGGATTGCATGCACGGTCTGGAGCTGAACATTTCCTTTGTCGGCCCAGCGGGAAATAAATCGACAAAGATCAGGAACTTGACAAGTTGGTCAATTAAAATGGACAATTAATTGAATGAACTTTTTTTTTTTTTTTTTTAACTTGCTGAATGCTTTCTCAAATTATAAACTGTTGACATGAAGCTGTGTCATCTCCCACAGCCCAGACGTTCCCCCGGTCAGACATGAAGAGCCCTCCGGGTCTGGATCGCTGAGCAGCTGAGGTCGGCGCTAAAAACACTGACAGTCCTGACAGTCATGGCTGATAGAGATGGGCTTCCTCTTGCCCCAGGTCAAGCCTACGTCGAAGTGGAATATGACTATGAGTACAAGGCCAAAGACAAGATGGTCACCATCCGGCAGGGGGAGTGCTATATCCTCGTGAAGAAAACCAATGAGGACTGGTGGCAGGTGAGGAAGGACGAGGGCGCAAAGGCTTTCTACGTGCCGGCCCAGTATGTCAGAGAGGTGCGGCGGGCGCTGATGCCCCCACAGAAGCCCACCTTGAGGGCCAAACCTACCGTTCTGGATATCTGTATGGCATCAAATGAGAACCTCAACCGGCCGCAGCCAGAAATGTCCAGCTTTGGGCGACCGTCGCCTTCCTCCACGCCGTCACCTTCCTCAGACCGCGTCACGCCGCCGGCTCCGCCCAAGGATGCGAATCAGAATTTGGGAAGCCCCCATCATTGCAAGGTGGTGGCCGAACTGGTGCTTCTTCACAACAACAATAATCATCACCTTGCCAACAATTCAACCCTCCCGCGGACGCGAGCCGACTCGCCGCCGCTCAAAGAGGAGAACCGCCACAGCAGAAGTCCAGACAGTGACAAGACCTCACCGCAATGTGACCTACCAGGAAACGGACTCAGCAAGCTCCGCAACGACTCGGAGTCCGGCGATGAGCTCAGTAGCAGTTCAACAGAACACATGCAGGTAAGACATGAACTCATATGCTAAATGTGCCGATTCCTCAAACTCTGCTGTGTGCAATTGTGGGTGATTTAAAGCACTGATCTGCTCGGGGATTAGTTTTACAGCTTACTCGTCTGTTTACAACTTTGGATCCATTTCGGTTCATTTTTGGTGACGTTAGCTGATTGGTAACCGAGACTGGTCTTGTATAGACGGGAGGAGAGGAATGAAACCGTAGAAATCGCAGGCTCTCCCCACTTCGTGAAAAAGCAGGAGTGGTCCAGCCACTTTGTGGTGGCTTTATCCAGCCAGGGTCAGCTAGTTTGAAGTCTCCAAATGCTGCTTGTGCTCTTTGTTGCCCGGGCGGCAGAAGCCTCCTCCACCATGGTACGAACAAAGAGAGGCAGGCTTGAATGGAAAGTAGGTCATATCAGAGGGAGGATCCGTCTGTAGCCCCCAGTCGCCCACTGTGGGGACCACTGTGTGAAAGAGGCTGTGTATGTGTGAATGTCATGAAGTGAAGGAGAGCGAGAATGCAACACGCTCGACCACGGGTTAGCCCCAAGATAGTTAGCTCAGTCATTATTGACATCCTTTGAAATGTTCTCTTGGGGCGAGAAAATGGCAGATTTTTTTTTTTTTTTTTTTTTGGTGGAGGGGTTGTGCCAGTCCTACACCAACCTTTTTGAATTTCACGCCTGTCAAACCACTTGCCAAATCAAACGCATTTTCCCCCCCATTTGCATTGCATTTGCATGGACAACTCCTAAATGTGTGGATTTGTTTTTTTTTTTTTTTTCAGCACTGAACAGTGCCGATAAGAGGCAGACAGCTTTAGCCAAAACTGCGATGTGGCTCTGTGCTGTTTGTAGTTTCAGAGGCAGGTGGGTCCCGCTCCCCGCTTCCTCCCTCCCCTGTTCTGCCTTTCTTAGTCTCAGTGTTAGTTTGTCCTTCTTGGCCTGTTGCCAGGGAAGTGAGTGACCCTGCAGGGGATTCCCCCACTCCTCCCCCCACCCCCTTTTTTTTTAAACTCTACCTCCAGTCTTTGCTAAGTTACGGATATTTTTTTGCACCCACAGAAAAAATACTAACTCCTGAAAAATGTCATCTTGAGCATCTTAACAGGCACCCTGTCATGTTTTTATTTCTATTTATTTATTTTGATGACACCCGAAGGAGAAGTCAAATCCTGTTGATTTAGCCAGTATGAGGCTTTCATTTTGGAAAGGTCAGAAGGAATTGATTTGACGGAAAGATTGCTGCAGTGCCACCTGGCCACATGTAATTGATTTAGATCTGATCTCCAAGTGATCCTTAACTTCGCTGCGTCGCGCCACGCTTTCTATTCACTTGCTTTGAAATCCTCTTGCACGATATCACCACGAAGGTTGTTGATTTTCGGTGATCATTTTCGCATGTTTGAATATTACTCAAGTGTGACTCGCTCATGGTACTTTCTTTCCAAATCACAGTGACATAATGAAACGGACACACCGTTCCCCTGCGGTCATGCGTGAAAGACCAAATCATCTTTTTTTCCGCTCTCAAAGATGTGTCACCATGCAAGTGGAAGATGTATTGGTCCAAAGTGATTTTTTTTTTCTTAAATTTCGTCTGTGGCTATGCCCTGTGGAGCCAGTGGTCAGCCATGCACTCACTCATTCCACGATGTGATTGAAGCAGCGTACGACCTTGAGAGACCAACCCCCCATCCCCGCCACAATGCTGCTTCATACAGTCAAACTCCCCCCCGCCCCCACAGCTGGCCTTTCACCCTTGCTGTCTGTCTTTCTCACTTGCGCTCTCAAACTCCCGTCCTCAAGGGCTACTATCCTGCATGTTTTACATGTTTCCCTCCTCCAACACACCTGATTGGCTGAAGGGATGTGTTGGTCTTCTAAAACAAATGGGCCGGAGCACACAAAGTCTCTTGGGGAAGCTTTTGGGTTGACTGTTTAGAAACAAGCTGTTCCTAAACCTACAAAATGCCACAGTTTGTGCATGCGTTGACAGAAACGGTTCCTTTGGCAGATAGCTCAAATGTTTCGAGAGTGGCTTAGCTACGTTCCAAGAAGTGGACATCTTTTGAAGCGAGGTCGAGTAAATGCATACTCTTACATAATGGGCCCAGTTCAAAAACAGATATAACCCGTACGTATGTCTTGTCTCTCCGTGCCCTGTAATCTCTGTTTAGCCAATAGGCTTACTCCCATGGCAGCTGAAAAGGAGGCCCGAGCTTGTTTTCCAATGCATATTTGACATTCTTGTCTTGGTGCCCACACACACACACACACACACACACACACACACACACACACACACACAGTGCTGTACAGTGAGGAAAAAGTTTTAAAATGCAGATTTGACATTCTTGTCCACACACACACACACACACACACACACACACACACACACACACAGTGCTGTACAGTGAGGAAAAAGAAAGTCAAGGAAAGGCCGTCCTCTCATCAACAGTGAGGCACCAGACTGCTCGTAATCTAATCCAATCCGATGCTGAGCTAATAGTGCATCTTCTGTGTTCATGTGAGCGCTTTTTTCCGGTCTGCTCCCTTGCCTCCTTACCCTGTCTTTCCTCTCGCTGTCTGGAACCCTCCTCGGTCTCTCTTCTACGATGTCTGCACCGCTTCCTATTTTCAACCTCCCACCTCTTTGCTTCTCGAGTCATTGTTTTTGACGCTCTTGTCTGGAGTAATCTCGGTGAAGGGCAGTGCAACAGTCAGGAAACTAACAAACATGCAGTTTCTGCGAGCCTGCTCTTGGACCTTGTGTCCACCTTGTTTTGTTTTTTTGTTCTCCAACCGCCCACAATTCTGATCTGTACCTTCTGCTTTAGAAGAAGAGGATTAAATCTGCAAACCCCCGGCGGCTCAGCCTTCAAGACAACCTGAACTGATGTTGACAAATCATGCTTGGAGAATCCTGTCTGTTTTTGAGGGTTAAGGATTAAAAACTCCTTTCAAAATATGTATATTGAAGCGCTTAGAATCTTTCATCTCTATTTTATTAATGTATTTTGCAGTTTAGTCATCACGAAACTGGGATCATAACTTTACAATTCTCCAGTTAATGACTCAAAATTAACATTGTTTTGGTGGCATTTTCTATTTTGATAAGTTGGTCATTTTCAGTGCTGACAATTAGAACATTTAGGGGGGAAATTTCATGGCACATTCATCACGTCCAAAATTGTCACAGTTATCGGTATTTTCACAAGACTTCTAAAAGGAATGTAAACAAACAACCGTATGTACTTTTTGACCTCAAAAATTGTAAATGGACACACCCAATTACAACTTTCTCACATGTCCAAACCCCACCAAATGTTCTTAAAACTATAAAGATGCCTTTCGCAGGCCACATGAAATATTACGTGGTTGACGGCACTTGGCCCGTGAGTCGTAAATTTGAGATCCGCCGGCTGCTACGTGCAAGGGACAGATTTGTGCAGTTTAATTTGCAACTACAGTGGTGCCAACTCAACTGTCATGCCAGTTCCAGTGGAGAGGCAGCCTCGCCATAATTTCGGGATCGAATGATGGTGAAGCATCGTTCTCTTTCCTCTCACTCCCCAGTTCTCTATATGGGTCAGTCAATCCCTCTCCTGTCTGTCACCGCGGCTCTCTCTGGGCCTCGCTCACTAATGTCACTTGGTGGACTGGCCAAGCATGTATCCGGAGAAGGTAAGACTACCTGACTGCTGTGCTTTTGATGTCGCACAGCGATCTATCTTTCCCCAGCTTCCACCTGCCGCTGTCCTCCTTTGCGATCCGCTTGAAGCAAGCTAGCAAGTGCGTCTTGTGTTGTCATCCAGACCTTGTTGTTGTACGTATATCGGTGTATCACGTCTTAGGGAAGTGGGACGCTGGCACACAACCGTGGTGTTACATACAACACATTATTTGACTCTTGTGTTTTATCAAGTGCGAGAGATTCGTTGAGCCAAATTCTAGCTCCCTTTCAACGGAGGTCTGTGTTTAGATATAATTTGGGATGCCCAAGACACTCGCGTGCTCAAAGCTCAGTTACATAACTGAGACGAGATGTTTTCAGAGGCCTTTGAACAGCTGATATAGCCTTTTCCCCCCAGTGGCCAACTCTTTGGGTGAGTAGACAGGTCAAGCTATTCGTGCACTCAGCCTTTTGCGTTCTCCCTTTCCCTTGTTTGTCTTGTGAAACTGTATATCATGAGACGGGCAAGTCATTTAGCAATGGTGTTTTTCTCCGCATGGCTTCCTTGTGCAAAGCTGGGGGGGGGGTTTTGGTTTTGTTTTCTGTATGAGGAAAGTCGTATATCCCTCTTGAATATATCCCGACTTTGGGATTGTAAGTGATTAACTTTCGTCCTAATTTATCACTTATCACGGTGTGTAAATGGTGCACTTCAATCAGGGCTTCTGTGTTTGCAGAAACTTCTGTCGCGAAACGACGACAATGCTGCGGATGAGTCTGGGGCCCGCTTTATAGTTTTATAACATAACAGTTATTTCCGCACAAATCCAATTGCAACACGACACAAGCACTGTTGGCATAATTGCGCTCAGTTGGGCTTTCAGCTCGCTAGGGGGTCTTCCTTTAAAGCCCCGCCTTTTGGGGATACGAGTACGTCTCTGCACGTTTCCTCAAAGCTCCCCAAAATAGCTCCTGGATTAAAACGGAGATACTGGGAGGCTGATTGGGGTTGTCTTGAGTGCACAAAGACACCCCATGCAAGCGGTTAGTCAGACAGAGCCTTAATGATTGACAGAGCAACACTGTCAGTGTCCATGAAGGATACGAATATGCCAGGTGGTAACAGATGCACTTCATACTTGGAATGCTACAGAACACACACAGGTAGATTATGCTACGGCTGATTTATTATTTTTCTTCTCTGATAATGTCTAAGATTCTGTCCAAGATGTAAAAAAATCTCTATTATAGCCAGAATGGAAGGAAGAATTAATTTAACCTCGCCTTACCTTAGTACAACACAATACCCTCAGAATTTTGGTCACACAATT